ACCATTCCGAATAATGGGTCACTCTATCAACGGTTCCAATGCATTGCATACACTGTCTTCACGCGTTTCCAAAGCAGCGCACGCAATGGCACTTACTTTTTGCGAGCCTGAGCAGAAGCACCACCCTCACGCGCACGCCTCCTGATGCCTCAACAGAGGTCATCGCCGGCGAAGCGCTTGACTCCCCAAGTCTTCATTATCTGGACGCAAACGTACTCTTTGTAAGCGGATTCCCTGAAAGGCAGCATCAGGTTGTTGTTGAGATGTCAACGACGAATTTCACGGCGGCACAGCCTCCACGTTAGCTGCATTTGCAACCGTCTGTCTCTTCAAGGTAAACATCCAATTACCTCACGGACGACGCTGACTTTCCTGTGCCCTTAAGAACACTGAATCGTGGTTTAGATATCGCTTGACCCTATGCTAACAGAGGTACGATAGCTCGTTATCGACACCTGTGACGCCCTACACCATATGTGCCACAGGAGCTTGAGCGTGTCGGCACCACGCCCACTGCCTACGTTCCCGAAAGCGCCACTCAGCAGCGCAAGCAAACTCAGCATTTGTTTATGCCTGTCTCCTACACCGGTGAGGCATCTGTGCTGCTTGAGGCGGAGGCGTCGCGAATTCACGCACTAGCTAAAATGCAAGCTGGCACTGGTAGCCCTTGCTGGAGTAGTACAATGCAGTCTTAAGCATCTCCCGAGGACAAGCAATGACTTGCAGCGCTTGCCTTAACGTATAAATATCAATGCGTCTCTAAACGACGAAATGCGCTGCGGAGGCTGTCATAGTTTCTTCTGTTAAATATTTTATGCAATCCATTCTCTCCTGCGAAGGTGGTGATCATGAAGTCTGTAGATTCCGACAGAGTGCAGTGTCATGGACAGCTCAGTGCTACTGCCGTTCATACAGGGCAACGTACGCTCTGGTCCAGAAGGAGGTGCCACTTGGTGTGGTCTGAATATCGCGTCAGTTCGTTTAGTCCCAGAAAGGCGCCCACTCTTGTTGCTTGAAAATGTCGATCTGCATCCCAAAGGCATCCCCCGCTAAGAAAATGGCGCAGCAAAATACGCCCTGCCGTTGACTCCTTGAGTCATGCTTAGCGTTCGCCATCAGCTGCTATCGGCTCTTTTGCCGTCTGCAAACCGATGAGGGCAGGCTCCACAGCTCAAACATCTTATGGCCACCCAGCGACCGAACTTGAACCGGATGCCTTACTGTAGCGTCGTTTGGAGAAGGCATTTTGAGCACGCTCGCCGTCCTAAGTTCCTCCAGAAACGTAGGAGAATGAGAAATGCCTACAGGAGCAACAAGCGCTGGTTTGCGTACTCTAAGGATACTCCACAAAAAATAAACGAAACCAGAGATGAGCGATATCCACCATTGCCGTTGTCGGGCTCAGGCAAGCTGCGCTATCATTCATCTTGCCTCTTCCAAGCAACTGTTGGCACTCCCACAGCATATGCCAGAAAGACCGCTTTTAATACCCGGCTACGTTGCAACCAAGCAGGTGCGTGAGTCTTCAGCACACCTGCCGCAGCCCTCGAAGGAAATATGGCTCTCTAGCAACGGATTCCATCCCGTTGCACGTTTGGTTTACCCCACGCAACGTTTCTCACTTTTTTATGCGAGAAACGCATCGAGAAGTTGGCGTAACACGCGCGCCGCCCGGTTTGGCTTGCTGCGAAGCCTCGATGGAGCGCACGGGGTGCCCGCCAACTCTCCCCATAGGTCTACGTTTTCTCTGCGCAAGGCCGTGACCTAAGCTCACTCCCTGAAAAGCAACTGGCTCGCCGAGTCAGCGCCTTAGCTGTCCAATACACAACATCATTTGCTCGAAACACAAGTTTAGCTTTTCATGAATAGCCTCGAGGCAACAACATCTTGTGCTGGGAGTTGCTACGCTGTCGCCTAATCTCTTGCCCGCGTGAACACGCAGCATGTTGCTCACCAGAGCAGAATGATTTTCAGGGAGCGTCTCGACACGTAAAAGATGTGAGTATGGCGTCTGGAATCCGTACGGTAGAGCATAGTGCTGTGCCAAGACCAATGATGCTGCCCATGCCAATAGGCATCTCACACTCTTCACCACGCCCACGCAACGACGTGCATGCTAAAAAGCTTTAAATTCCCATTAGCAGGTCACTTAGTTGGCGTCTGATCTCTCTGGAAGAGATGCGGTATAGCTGCCTAAATGCTCGGTCGACCATATTGTAGAACAGCGCATTGAGGGAGCCACCTCTTGTTGGCTGCTTCCTTGAACTGCTTGCTTGGGCTAAACACAGGTTCGTACACACGGACACGCATATATATACATATATATATATATATATACGTAGGCATGCATACAAATGAGGCAGCAGCACGCTCCAAAGGTTATTTATTTTGCCCGCCCAGCACCGATTGTGCACATTCGATATTAGCCCACCACAGAAGTACGCGAGTACGCGAACTCACTCGATCTTGCCCAAGGGCTACAACGCAAATACCACAACCAATACAGCTGCTTTTTTCCGTCTGCTGTGTCAGCAACAGATAGTGGCGAAATGCCACTATCATGAAGGAACAGCCCACAATGCAGCTGTATTTTCAGCCATTTGTCCCTTCAAGGTAAACACTGAATTGCCGTACGGGGGCCGTGAAACTTCCGGTATCTTTAAATGCACCGAGTGGTTGTCTTGATAATGCTTGACTCTACTCTCACAAGGGCGCGATAGCCCGCTATCGACGCCCGTGACGCCTTACGCCAAATGTGTGCGCTAGCTACTTCAGTGGTGTATAAATGAACTCCATGGAATCGCTTGCGCTCATGCAACAGTCCTGCGTCTCCCGCGCGTGCTTGTCAGCCCCACACCCACCAGCCCAAAAGCACCGTTCAGCAGGGCAAGCACCGCCATGGAATGGGTACGCGCGTTTGGACCTGCGCGAAGTAAAACGAAAAAGCGGCGCCTGCCAATCTCATGCATCTATAAGGCATCTGTGCTCCTGAAAGCGTCGCGTATGGACGGACTCGCTAATGAATGAAGTCCATGGTGACACCTGCGGCCAAGTAAAAATTCTGTCCCAAGCGCCTCTCAAAGACAAAAGTGGCTTGCGCCGCTTGTCTTAGCGCCAGTGTCTACGCTATGCTCAAAGTCGACACGCGCCGTCGCAGGCTACAAAGTCTACCGATGCATAAATAGGACGCAAAAGCATTTGATGGTGCATGCCTCCGTTGGACGCCAAGCATGCGTTCTAGTCGAAAGACAGCCCATTGTGTGTGCGCATATGCTATCCAACTGTCATCCACCATCCATTAGGTGTGTGGATAAGACTATCCACAAACCTTTCGCTGCCATACAGATCAGTTGCCGTCAAGGTCAATAATGCCTCTCTTTTGCTTTCGGTCGTGTATTTCATCTGGCGCGCAGTTATGTGCCAGAGGAGACACTCCAACGTCAGCCCTTAACAAGGGAACCCTGGGACAAGCTCCAACGCTTACGGTGCTTTTCGCCCTCAGGCAAGGGCGCGGATCCAAGGTCAGTAAGGTGGTCTGAACGCCATCGCTTGGTCTCCCCAATGCAGTGCGTGCACTCACAAAACCTACATGCAATCAGCTTCGGGAAGCCGAAAAGGTTTAAGCACTACGGGTGAACCTTCCATAACAGGATGTGCTGCAAACGAGACGCTGTGGGCTATATTACCGCGTCGAAGTCAGCACAACTTGCATCTCGTGAAATGTGACCAGCGGTGAATTGACGTGCGACCCCAACACGCGCATGAGTGGTTCCGTGCACACCCACATAAACGCTTCTGCGGCGGCCAACGATCCTGTGCACGACGGAACCTCCAACCACTACTACTGGAAAGCAGACTGTTCGGCAAATGTGAGGTGTCCTATGGAACAAAGGTGCAAGTCCACGCACACTCTTATCTCGGAGAGCCTAACGCCTAACAAACCAGGCAAATCACGACCCCTCCAAGCCAGCGTTTACTATTGGGGCAGTTGATATCCGCAGAGATCAGGCGACGACTTCTATCTACACAACACGCACCTTGGCGCCTTTCCGGTGTACATTACTTGGCTTCCCCTACTTCCACTCACCCGAGCACAACATTCGCACGCACTCGCTTTAGAGCATCGGAGCAAGTTGCGGTGCTGCTTGAGCAGCTGAACTCACAAGCACATCTAGTAAACCTCCACCGTTCCCGTTTAGACGTTAAACCTCTAACGGGCAGCCGGAGCCCCACTTTGCACTAGAAGCCTTTCTGCCGCTTCATTTGGCCTAAAGCGAGCATTATACTTGCGAATCATGCCAAAGTTCTTGCGGAAATGTAGCAGGCTATAATCAACAAACAATGATCCGGACGTTTTACAAATACTCCATCAAGCACGAGCTAAACCAACTGTGAACACGGCCACATCAAGTTCTACAAAGGGCAATAAACATACGGCTGCGAGCAGCGGTGTCACCTTTGCTAAACTCAACAGAGCTAGCGGAAACACACAAATGCTTTCGCGCCGTTCCTGAAGCAAAACCTCACCGCCCAAACCTTCCACATTTCTCAAATTCATCGATAGTCGCAATGTGTATCGTCGGTGCGCAATGCCTTTCGCCATTACTCTTGGGCAGGCCCCTGTGCACGCCATAGCCCATCAGGTATCACGCCCCAAAGCGGACCCCACGCCTGCTCAATCTCCAACAAGCCTTCCGCTTCCTATCTGTAGCTGCCCGAAAAACGCGCCAGTCCCGCAGACGTGCCCACCTCTAACGAAACTATCCTATCCGCCATTCGGAGACCACCGCACCGCACCAAGCACGAAAACGCAAGCCGCAAACCACTCAGCGCCATTCACAGCACGCCACCGCAACGCAACAGGCAAGCAACCGAAAGGTCGTCGTCGCCACACACAAAAAGCACCCACAACAGTTCGTTGCTGCTCCAAATCATGCAATCACTGTTGGCACCCGTGCCGTGCTTACACGGGTGCTGCAGAACCAAGCGCACTGGCTGAATCAACACGCCAATCCCGCAGACGTATCCAGCTCCACTCCATTCCCTGACCCCCGACACCCAACCAACATTCTCACTGGATTTACTCGGTGCGCCGAAGTAACATCGTACAATGCTGGCCTGCGTGGAGCAACCATGTCGCTGAGGCGAACGTTCGTATGCGCGCGGACCACCGATGCAGCTTTCCGCACACCTAAAGGCCCCAAACAAGTCGACAGAACCTCCAATGCAATTCCCAAGGACGGGCAACGAACACGCTTGCGCTGCGCCAAGCAAACAACTGTAGTCCGTTGTGCAAATGATGCAATGAATACAAGTTGCGCATGGGCCAGTGTTTGCTACGCCTGACCTCTTCGCCGTTTCCGCAGTTCCCGTAGCCTGTCAGCCCATTCATTCACCGCTGCGAAATACACCTAACAACGAACATCACTAACACGTGCTTCATTACAAGGCGTCAAACCTATGCCGTCCCTTCATTGTGAGCTGCGGTGAAAGGCCACACAAACACCGCGATACCGGCGGCGCCTGTGCTGCTGATTCTTCAACGACCGTACAAACTAACCATTCACACAAGCGTACGCCACACTGTCGCCACATACAAAAACACGCCCTTCCAACCTTGCAGATATGTTGACAACTATTCTGTAGCCTCGTAAAGCCCGGCAATGCGCCCTGCCGTCCCCCACCCTACCGACATCCCTGCCCCTGCCCCTGCTTTACTACTCTTTGCGCCTGCCGCCACAACCGTCAAAATGCTCCGCACGCAAAAAGACTTGACCGGCCATCCCTCGCTCCTCACGTGCGGTGCTTGCTGCATCCTGTACTCGTGTATTGGAGTGACGCCGAAAATGCAAAGGCAAGTGCACGGCGTCCGTCTCTTGAACATATTCCGACCACGCACAGCTCCTCCGCAAGGCATTCGCGATCTGTTTTGCGCATGGTGCACTACAACCAATTCAACTGAAATACGTCATTCCCGCATTTGCATTTTATCCTGATGTTTCCAGCGCTCACCTCCTGCGCAGAACCGCCTTTGCCTCAACTCATACCCGGGCCACCTTGCACTCTCTCCTCAATCGCACGTCAACAGTATCCGGTCTTCTCTCATGCTGCCCATAAATATCGTTGCTCGTCTCGCTGGCCCGACCCTGCACACGCTGCTGAGCGCCACCCGCACAAAATTCAGCAATGTTTGCATCACAGGGAGCACCACACCAAATTGCCGACGCACCCACGAGGCCACCAGGTAGACAATAGAGTGAACGGGACAACGCAATGGTTCCGCGGCGCTCTTGACTCATGACAACATCGCTGCAGCCTGACACAGTTTTCCCAAAATATGCCATTTGCCTTTTCCAGGTCTCTCCAAAGTTTTCCAATGCGTACAATCTGTGCGTAGTGCCATTCGCCACTTCTCGAGGGCAGGCCGCTTTGACTGTCTACCCTCAACATGCCGGAAACGCTCGCATAGCTCTCCTTTCCTCCTCCCCACTACTCGGGGGCAGGCTGCCTTGCACTGTCTCTCCTCAACACTCCGCAAACGCTCGCATAGCTCGCCTTCCCTCCTCACCTAGCTCGCCCATAACCCATCGCCAATCAGGCACACACGCGGGTGGCACGCCAGCTTAAACGCCCACACGCCTTCCGGCTCACACCTGTATCTGCCCGGATGACATCCGTGCCTGCCACGCACCAAGGACAGCGAAAACGCAAGCTGCAACCCACTCACCGCCATTCACCGGACACGGCCGTACCGCAACAGGCACGCAACCAAAACGTTCACGCTACAAACAAAAGGCAC